AGGAGCGCCAGCCCTCCCGCCCGAGTTCCTGGAGCCCGCCTGCGACTGCGCCTGCGCCGCCCGGGGGACGGCCCGACGGCGTCGCCCCGCCCTCTTAAAGGGCCGGACTGCGTTTACTCCTCCCTCTCGCCTATTGGCCCTTAGCTTTTCCATCTCTTCCCCAACACCTTAGCTCCAGGTTCTGCGGGTACCGTCCTGAGGTGGCAAAAGGAGCGGTGAAGCAAGCAGAAGGTGGGGCGTTCATTCGGAGCCGGTGTCGTCGACGAGGCCCAATGGAGGAGTGCCGGAACAGGATTCTCCAAGCCTGAGCAGCAGTTAGACTGCTGCTGCTTTCCCTTGGGCTGTGTGGAAACTCACCGCCTCAGTTGCCCGGCCTCAGCTGCCTCTTCAGCTGAGGAGGTTGAATGGGAAAGTTTCCAAGATCACAATCCAGTGACTGCAGAGAGAAACTCTGGTCGTAACCTAGCGCAGCCCGGAGCCCTGGGAACCCGTGACGCCCTGGCCCTTTCTCTGGGACCAACAGAGAGCTGAGGGACATGAAAGGGACATGAAATCACTGGTCTCCAACCAGTGATTCTTCCTGCTGGGAACAAGAGCAAAAATCCCGGCAAGACAGGGAAGGGGGCATTTCCTCCCCCTTCATAGCCTCCCAGTGCAGCCTGCAAACCCCAATTCTAGCCTAGCCAGAGGCAGCCTTGGGTATGGTCAGAACCCAAAAAAGCGCCACTTAGTCCTGTTACTGAACTGTACCACATCTGTGAAGTAGCATAACAATGAACAACTTCAGACCCTCCATCCAAGGGACAGATGCCAGGGAACAGATTGCTTTCTCTTCTCCCATTGTCCGGCTTTGAGCCCAAGGGCCCTGGTGTGAGGGCATTAAAGCAATGAGAAGGGGATGGGCTCCAGACACCTGTGCAGGGCTTGGGCTGGTGTCTTGTGGGCAGGGCTGGCAACTTTCTCCTGAATCATTTGATGACAGTGTCACAGCTAACCTTCCTGTGGACCCAGAACCCCCTGAGCAGAGTGAATGTACCTGCTTTGATCAAGAAAGGGTCTAGGGCAGACAAGATCCCGTCCCCCTCTCTGGGCACAGCCAGGTTAGGGTCTTCTTCCCCTATGTTTTGGCTGGCCTCACAGGAGAAAGTCAGGAGGATGCCAGGTTTGGGAGAAGGAATTTGACAAGTGTCCTCTGCTCAATCTCCCTCACACTACCTCAGTAATGACAATTGTTAAGATTACGGAGCCTTCCCACAGGTGAGGCCCGGGTTGGTATCTATTCTCATTCAACCCCCCACAGCAACTTGAAGCCCATGTTATCATTTCTAGTTTGCTGAGATGCTACAGTTATTTGCTCAGGATCATGTAGCTAGTAGCAGTGAGGCCGGGATTCAAATCCAACTTGCTAACTCCAAAATCTCCTCTGAGCCTCCTCTAACACACAGCAAAGCAACACCAAAGCTAGGAGCCTCACTTCACGAAATCAGATCTGACTAGATGGGGGCGTGGGGAGGGTTTTCAATAGATGCCAACACCTGATTTAGAGCGAGCTTCTCTGTTGGCAAGTCAGACTTCAAACTGAGAGGTCAAAGCACTTGCATCCTGGCCCATCTTGCTAGGCGATTCTCTTAGGGGAACCCAGCCTCCATTCTCCATGCCACTTTTCCGGGCCCTAAGAGTCTGGCCCATGTCTCTTACATCCTTAGCACAGGTTCTATAAGCTTACAAAAAAGCCTGCCCCTGCCAGTTCCCAGCCCCTGTACTGCACCCCCACCATGGGGACTCGGGCTGTGCTGGGCTCTGTGTCTGAGCTTTGTTCTATGTCTGCTTTGTTCTGTAACTGCAGTGCTAGTAGCTGGAGGGAAGCCTGGGACACTGCACTGCTCTACAGAGCTGACAGCATAAGGGAGGAAAGGAGCCAGTTTACAAACACAAGGCTCAGGAGATTCAGGAGGTGACTGTGGGGATAACCCCAACTCTCTTAACATGTCTGTGCCAGTCTCTTCCTAGACCTGGAGCTTCAGGAAAGCTGCCCACAGCAAAGCAGCAGGGCTTGTCAGGTCTAGTTCTAAGAGGCTGCTGGCCAAGCTATTTAGTGATGCCTTAAGCATCTCCAGCTTGAGATGTTGTACCTGCGGGATAAAGGAGAGGCCAAGGAAGATGGCTGCTGGGACGTGCATCCTGGCTCAAACCTGTAGGCAGGTGCTCAGCCAACCGTGCTGGGTGCCACTGAATGATTGGGCTAAAGGTAGTTTTTCCTTTTGTTTTAGTTTTTAAACTACTGTTGTGACCAAATAGTAGGCAGTGAGCCAAATTTAATGGATTTGACAATTTTTTACAAAAGAGGATAATGATGGAATAGAAAAATCGGAATATAAATTTAAAACTTGTATTGAAGTATAATGTATACCCAAAGAAGTGCAAAATTGGGGCCCTCCTTGGTGGTGCAACAGGTTAAAGCACAGCACTGCAGGCTAGCTGCAGCCGCTTCAGTGCAAGTTCAATCCCCTGCCCCGGAGGTGACTCACATGGCGCGGCAGATCTCTCCTGTCTTACCCAATGCTCCCCTCGGCAGTGTACTTCGTCAATCTGCCTTTTCTACTCCCTATTCTGTCTCTAGGGAATCCTCTCACTGCCCTTGCACCTCTGGTCTGTACCCCAGTTCTGTATGTATAAATAAATCTTTAAAAAAAAGTGCAAAAATGTGCACATTTTACAAAATGAGTTTAACCAACATCCAAATAAAGAAACAGGACATAACCAGCATCAAGCAGTCCCCCGAGGTGTGATTTTTAAACAAAAAATTATTAACCTTCTAGCATATGCCCTTCACATGCGTGATTTGTTAACTTTCCAACAATCTCCTCCCAGTACTCCTTGCCTCCACACACATACAAAGATGTAGACTCCATAATGACAGGGAATTTTGCCTGGGAATAGATTGCACAGATACCTAGAACAGTGCTTGGCATGCAGTAGTAGCCAGCAACAGTATCTGTTGAATGAATGAGAATGCATCATGAAGAGTAAAGATTCCATTTTGTGACATTTTTGTTTCATTACACACACGAGTCTTAATATAAAACCAATTTTTTTTGTTAGGTCACAGTCAAAAATGTCTTGAAAGCTATTGCTACAGCTTGAGAAAATTATGGAAATTGATTCAGGCCAGAGCAGTGAGCTCAAGTGAAGCAGAATACCGTACTAACTAGACCAGCACTTCTCAAACTTCAGTGTGCAAGTGAATGCCCTGGGGATCTTGTTGAAAGACACATTCTGACTCACCAATCTGGGAGGAAGATGTTGAGAAGCTATGTTTCTGTCAAGCTCCCATGGTTTGAATAGCCCTGGACTCAGAGAGTCTTGATTCTGCTTTACATTAAGACTCATAGGGGAGGCTTTTAAAAACACTGATGCCCAGGTCCCACCCTAAAATAATTTAAATTAAAATCTCAGATGGGGCTCAGCAACCAGAGTTTCTAAAAGTTTCCCCCATGTGATTCCAGGTGTGCCACCTGAAATGGAGGTACTCAGCTGGCATATAAACTGTGCACAGTGATTTTGGTGTTTGTTCCCAGTGTACCCCCGTGCCGAGAATAATGCCCAAGATGAGGTAGGAGTGTAGTGGGGGGAAATATCAGGGTGAGGTCAGAGGCGTGGGAGTGGGGGGTGGGGGTGAAAGAATTCACCAGAAACAAAGTGGAGAACAGAGAAGGTGGATTTACTGAAATGCACTGAGTGAAGCAGTGGCTGAGTAGGGGATTTGAGGCTGCTTTCATGGACTCTAACTTGGGGCGCCAGTTCACACCAGTTATCCTCTGGCCTTTGACACAGGAACATGTCCTGGCCTCTGCTTCTATATTCCTGGAGCTGGGCTGGCTTCTCTGGACATGATGGGTCTTACTGCCTTGTCCTCAAGGCAGCCTTTTCCAGTCCCTGATCTGTTCAAGCCTCCCAAACCTGCCCGTGGGGGCAAGGTGCTTAGTTTTTATCCCTTTTAACCTTATTAAATGATATCCCGACAGGGAGGAATTGTTGTGGTGTGGAATAGTATCTGAATGAACAAATCTGTCTTGGTTGACAAAGGGCAACCTATGTCTGAGGAAGGAACCGGTTGCTTTCAGTAGAGGTGAAGGCAGATGTGGGGCTATCTGGTAACCCAGGCCATTTCTGCCCAGATCAAGACAGAGTGTGCCCTTACCCTAACGCTCAGGTCAGAGTTCCCTGGAGTTGCTCACGGGACACAGGCCGCCAGCCATTCAGAGCATCTCGAAACCGTACGAGGACACTGGGAGGAGGCGTTGTCAGTGGTTCCCATTCACCTTCCTTCTGCACCCAGCTTGAGAAAGGGCCAGATAACTCAGCTGATAAG